TATTTATCTCCTTCCAAAAAGTGCACGCTTGTCTCTACCATTTGGAATTGGAATCTGAGATTTGGCTAGAACTCTTTACAAAGATGGTAATCCAGCTGATGATGAGTTTGCACGTTCCAGAGTACCTTTCCACCACTTTTAATGGGGTCACCTGGAATCCTTACAGACCAGGCGCAGAAAACGACATTTCCTTTAAGTCAAAGATGGCTGTTTAGAACTGGTTCGTTGTCCTGTAAAGTCATTGTCCTTGAGTATGTACATATCTACACACACACATACACTCACCCAGACATATATTTTTGAGATGAAGTTGCCCCCATACAATAAATCCTAATCCAAAGTGGATTGCTGCTTTGATTAAAAAGCAAAAATTCTGTCGGCTCCATAGGTAAGCCTAGAAAAGCACACACTTTTTCTTTGAGCCGGGTTCGTCTCACAGAGAGGCACATTTAAATTATTTCATGGGTAATTCACGCTGGCATTAGTGTAGGGAATATTGCCACAGCCTCTGCACACATCACAGCCTTCTTTCTCCGACAGACGGACATTCTCAGTGGCCTCCTAAGGTGAGGATGCCACGTACTTCTGTGCTCATCAGGCCTTTGTCTCTCAAGCCTTGGCACCTGCTCATCTCAGGGCTGACTTAGGAGTCTGCACAGGGAATTATCTTCCCCAAGGGAAGCTCTCAGGAGGGTACAAAGGAAAGAGAGGAGAACGCTTGCCTCCCTGCCCTTGTGTTTGTTTCTGTTAGATGAAGGGTAATCCTCGCCTCGTGTCAACGTGTCCTGGCCTTGTGGTAACAGTTCTGTAGTGATCTGGCTGTTTCATGAGCTGAGGAGATGGCCACCAACTCCTATCCTTGGAGAGGTGGGAAAAAAAGAGAGAGAAAAAAGTGTGTTTAGCGAAATATGTGTATTTGCATGTTCTCTGAGTAAACATTTCCGAGTGGGACCAGAATAATTAGGAGGTAAATTGCCATCTGCGCATGTCAGTTCTTTTGTTCACCCAACTCAAGGGGCATCCCAATTGTGAAATTGTGAAAAAATTAGCTATCTGTCTATCTACCCTCCTACCTACCCACCTGTCTAGCTAGCTAGCTGTCTGCTATTTGGTGCTTTAGTTAGTTTTAGCAGGAGTTGAGTAGTTTGTGGGAAAGATCACTAGGCAGCTTGCTTGTCTAAAAGCCAAACCAGGATGGGGTGGGGCGAGGGAGGGGTGGGCAGCCAAGAAGCCCTTTCCACCCTCCCTCAGCAAGAAAATAAAAAAGATAAATAAACCCTAATCCTGACCTGGGGGCAAATCCCAATAAAGATCGAGGTTAATTTTTCCTGCCGATCCAACCCTTGAATTCATTGTACGAATTAGACAGTTCTGCGGCCCTAATTTGCCAGATCAGATTGTATAATTATCTTTTACAGCCCTGGGTGTGATGTGTGCTCCGTGTTGATGCTGCAGGGGGCTGACCGTGTGCGTTGGGCTTCAGAGGAGCTGCTCTGCCGTGCCAGGCTGCGCTGCTTTCACACGAGCGGGGGCGTAGCTGTTGGAGCCAGGTCAGAATCAGCCCTAGCAGCCTGGAATGGAACAGACAAGCTTGGGACAGAGCCTGGGTCAAAGGTCAACCAACAGGAGGCAGTAGGGGGAGGGTCTTGGGGCAGGGGTGAGGGTCTCCGAGAAAGAGCAGTGGTATTGGGGTTCGGTGGGGTCAGTCAACAGAGGACCTGAGTAAAGGGTGGCAAGTTTGGAGGTGGGAAGGAAGTAGGCAGCTTCAGGGCTGAATTATGATGCTCATGGCCTTAGGCACTTTTGTCTTCATGGGCCCCTTCCTCCATAAAAAGAAATGTATATTAAAAATGATATTTTAAGATGGCTATGGTGTGAGGAAGAGTATCATCCAGGCTGGATTCGTTGTTATATAGGCATTAATATTATACTCATTTTATTCCTTCTGATTTTAAAAGAAATTAGAACATTTTCACAGGCATCTAAAATTCTCCAGGGTCCTGGGCACTGGCTCCTGTGCTCAGTGGGTGTGTTGGCCTTAGGTAGGTTCCTAGACATGGGACCCAGTGGTTTGACCTCCTGACAGCTACTTGGCCTGTTTTGTATAAGTCACTCCTCTCTGATTTTGGACCATTTGGAAGGTCCGAGAATTCCCCCAAACTACAGCCCTTATTTTGGCCCAAGAGGGGGCTCGCTCTTGTGAAGTGTTGAAATCCTGTATCCTATTGCACTGATTTTCCTTTCTCCGCCCTGGTCTTCTGCAGCGTGTGACCTTCTGTTGTCAGCATGCCTCACAGCATAGGTGGTGTAGGTTTTGGAGAAGGCGGTGGGTCCGTGTGGGGCTGGACGTGTTCCAGGTGATGTCTTCCTGTGCCCTCAGCAGCCAGGCCTTTTGTTCCTCAGTCAGAGGTATCCAGGAGGACCAGGCCCTTCCATCTTGGTTGGAGGTGGTTGGGCCGAGAACCACTAGGTGGTGTTTGGCTCAAGGCATCCCAGGAGATGTCAGGAAGGAACCTGTCTGGGTGGGGGTTGCGGGAGGAAGGAAGGGACCTTTGAGGGCAGGCTGTGGGTAGCTGGTTGTAGTCCCTGGCCTCCCACAGAGGTTTGGTGTGGGGTGTGGCGTGCTGCTGTTGGCCTGTGTCCGAGGAAGTGCCATCCACCCTGTCTCACGTCATCCGCACTGAGGGCATACAGGCAGCAGCGAGGTGTGTGTGCAGCTGCCACAGGCTCCACACGGTAGGTGTTGAAGCCAGTGTGCTGTGGCGGAGAGAGACAGGGTCCGTGGTCCGCCCAGGCTCCCGGGAAGCCTGCAATCTTGCCTGTCCTGGAGCGCCATGCCGATGCAAAAATCAAAGGGGAAAGAGACCCTCCCTCGTCTTAAGGAGCAGAGCAGAGGCAAACCGTTCGGCTTACTGCAGTGGTTCTTAGAAGTGCATTTCAGGCTGGAGGTTGGATGCCCAGAACTGGATGATAGGAGAGAGGGGAGGGGCAGCTGTCTCTTGGGATGATAATGTCTCTCGCAGCCATCTGGCACTCCAGGAGTCAGCTGGGCAGGTCCCGGGGCCTGCTGAGAAGTGGTGGTTTCCACCCCAGAACCGGGAAGCCCGGGGGGAGAGCAGAGTGAGGTCAGTTCTCCTGAGATTCCTGGGGCGGGGTGCAGCAGGAGGGTGTTTGAGGGGATCCCTTCTAGGCCCCTGCTACTCAGAGTGTGTTCTGTGGCCTACCGGCGTTGGGTTCCCCCAGGAGCTTGTTGCAAATGCAGCATCTCAGGCTGCGTCCTCAGACCTACTGAATGCGGATTTTAACAAGATCTCCAGATGATCTTCAAACTTTGCTGCATATTAGACTTACTTGGGGAACTTAAAAAAATTTTTTAAACCCAGTGCCCAGTCCTCACTTTATACCAATCAGAACGTGAGTGGGCTCCAGGCTTCAGTCTGATTTTCCAGCTGTCAGGGGAGTGGGACGGTGATTTCAGTGGGTAGCCAAGCCTGGGAACCTTGGCTGTCAGAACCCTCCCTCTCCTCCGCATCTTGTCCCCCCACCATCCGATTTAAAGAAGACCCCCTCCAGTCTCCCACTACCCACCCCCCCCACCCCTCAGTCCCCAGTGTCTGCCACTAAATTGGCTAGATTGAAACGTCACAGGGCGGGGTGAATTCAGATTTACTTGTGCTGAGTTTCTTGTCTCCCCTGGAAGGATAAGGCTGGAACCATTTCCATTCATCTGGGCTTTAGCATGAATGAGCTTATGGGATGCTTTCCACCTAATGAACTGAACATGAATTGGGTGTGGGGGTGGCTTTGCATACAGTAGTAATGGGAACGGGAATCCATCCTGGGGCCAGAGTTGGAGTTGAGGGTATCTTGCACTTTTGCTTGCTTCTTTTTGATGACTTTTCCAGCATTTGCGAGTTGTCTAGTTAGGTCCCATGCGTTGCACGGTTCATCAGAGCTAAAGTTGTTGAGTTCTTTGCCCTGTAGTCGACTAAGACCCGTATATTGCATTCGAGGTTCACCCTGGGATGAGTTCGTGGGTGTGGTAGAGGAAGACGGGCCCAGCAAACGTGTGTCCCCAGGATTGGGGCAGGGGTTGCTGGAACACCAGGGCACCCCGATCTGGTGGCAGGCGCTGGTTGATGGTGTTGGCTGCAGAGTACTAGCCCGGCCCTCGTCCTCAGGAACTCTAGAAACCGCAGGAGTGATCCTAGCCCCGAGATGATGTATGTGTGCATCCAACGAGAGAAAAAAACGCCAGCCAAACAATCCTTTCTCTTGTGAGTGAAGGTTACAAGTTTTCTGTTTCAAATCTGATGGTATTATTTTTCCCCTTTTGCTTTCTTCTCTCTGTTTTCATTTGCCAACCTAAGGGTCTGGAGTGGTTTCTTTGAGCCTAATGATGGGGAAGCTGAGAACGGGGCTATTATCTTTAAACACCTTTTGAAATACTACTCTTCCTGGTGTCTGAATTAGGTTGAACAGAGGTCGGATTTAAAGATTAAATATCTATTTTAGCAGCAACTATGCTGATAACTGCACATCTGCTCAGGAATTAAGTGGATAGTCTGGAATAGCCTTGCTCTCTAGAAACCCACAAAGGAGTAAAATTCCTAAAGGCACAGCTAATATTTATTGAGTGCGTGATGGGGGCCGCGCCAGGAGCTAGGTGTTCCTCCTATGTTTTCCCACTTAATGAATTCAGACAAACTGTAAGGTCGGAACACATAAAACTTCAGAAATGGTGCAGAGGAATCTTTGAGTAAAAGGCCCAATACAAACAGAACAGCTCAGAACTGTGGGACCAGTTATAACAATAATCTGGATTTCTCCCTTTATTCTGAATTCTATAGTTTTATTCTATACTGAAGAATGAACTACTGTTAAACCTCTATGTCCCTGGGAGGCTGTCTGACCTTCAGAGACTACTCTTTCTACGTTTTAAGCTTGAAGATGAGTTTTATTATCCTCTTTCCTGGTGTAACTCTCCCTTCTTTTTCCAGGTGAAATCAGACGTTTGTGGCTGACCTGGATAAATTGCTTCAAACCAAGAAAGAAGGACAAGAGGAAAGGAGAGCTGTGCACAGGAATCAGGGCCCAACCCAGCCCCGGTGCTCTGCTGGCTTTGGGGGTTTTGCTCCCTCTGCAGCACACCTGCTGCCTGGGCATCCCTAATGCACCAGTGTGCCGGCCCAGCGTGGAGATCAGCAGGCAGGATCCTTGCAGTTAGCCATCAGAGAAGGTCGAGAGACGCAGGTTAGTAAGTACTAACAGTCGTCATGGTTAATCCAGGGCAGGCAGGCTGTGTTCTCACGGGTTTTACTTAAATAAACTCGTTCTCACCTCTCACAACCCTAACAGGTCGGTCATGTTATACCCAACCTATAGATGAGGAAACTGAGGGACAGCCATTCACCCAAGGCCACACGGTTAATTAGTGGGGGAGGCAGGATTCGAAGTGAGAGCCCAGTCCAGCACTGTGTTCTTCTTCTATTCTGAGGGACAGTGAATTGTCCCATTCTCCTGGTGCACCATGCATCAGCTCCGGCTGCCTGCTCTTTCTGTACAGGGTCTGAGGCAGGGCACAGAGCTCCTGCAGCACACATCAGGTAGGTGACTCAAAGCCTGCAGGTCCAGGAGACAGAGGAACATATGGATTGCACCTGTTGACCTTCAGGAGCACAGAGACTGACCTTCAGATTAAAGGGGATCTCAGGGCTTTCTGGAATGCTGCCGACTGAAGTCTGGCCCTAATAAAGCAGGATGTGGGGCAAGGGGCCACTCCCTGCCTGCAAAGGCTGGATTTGCCCGCGGCTGTCTATACCCCGCCATCCACAGCAGTTGCAGTTCTGGCTGTAAGTCTCGCTCATACATACGTCTAGGCACAGCCAGTGTAGCTGGAAGCTTAGAACACAGGCAAGTAGATTGGAGGCAGCAGAGCCTCTCTTTCTCCTGTGGCGCCTGGGAGAGGGAGTGCTGTGTCGTGCAAAGCAGGCATTGCAACTGACAGATTATGTCACAAATTTGCCACTGTTGTTCTAGCGTAGTGGTGAAGAGCATGGGCCCAGAAGGCCTGGGTTCCAGCCCTGCTTCCACTACTTCCTCCTTTTGTAACCACAGGCTGGTGACCTTCACTTCTCCAGACTTCAGTGTCCACATGCGTAAAATGGGGGTAGTAAGAGAGTCCTTGCCATGTTGTGGCGTGAAGTGAGAGAATACACACAGTGACGTGACTAGCACAGCGCCTGGGATGTGTTAAGCATACCATAAATGTCTGAGTTTTTTTTGTTTTTTCTTATCAGCTCTGGATGTGATCTTGGGTGAGTTACTAAGCCTCACTTTCCTCATCTGTAAGATGGTGATGCTAATACCTGTGCTCCGGGGAGGCTGTGAGTTAAACAAGATAACACAAATAAGAAGGCTAGATCATAATAGATGCTGTATCTATTAGTTCACTTCCTCCCTTATCTCATTCCACATGGATCAATTATAAGGAAGGCGGCCAGTGGCGTTAACTCCTCCATCCACTGGAGTACTAAGTCCTGACAGTTACTCCACAGTGATTTTCTGATTTGACCCCTCTCTTCCCTTCTCCCAGCCACTCCACTGGTCTTAGCTTTAGTAACACAAGCTGGGATACCCTCAAGGGACCCAACCTTTCGACTTCCAGTCCTTCTTTCCCAAAGTAATTCTGTTTGTTTCTTCCCTAAGCCTCTTTCTTAAACCTAGCATTCGTCATGTCACTTTCTGATTAAAAGCAACCACCACCTATCGTGCCTCTTGTTGACCCAGCAGCCACGTGTCATTGGACACTCAGTCTTATGCCCACCACTTCCCACTCATATTTGAATCCTTTCAGCCAAGCTCACCTGCTTTGCATCCTACCCTAAGACTGGAATATTTCTGCACCCTGCCTCTGTGCTCCCCCCACCCTCTTCCCATGTCATCATCTATGTGCCTCACCTTCTCAAAACCCCACAGCCACAGGGGCCTCATGGTGCCGTCTGCTCCTTCACCTGGGGCATCATCTCACCTTCAGGACTTCACCTGCCATGTTGCCTTTGCCTCCCCAGCTGGTGCCTTGAGAGCAGTTGGGGGTGAGAGTGGGGCTTGTTTTCTGTTCCTTGGGTATTTCTTTCACCCCATCCCTTTTCACTGCTCATTCTAGAATCCCGAACAGACTAGGTGCTCAGACAATGGTGTGGATGAGTGGGTGGGAGGATGGGCCTGGAAAGGAGAGTCAGTGGTGTGAATTGTTCTTGCACTGCTGTCTGGGTTTGGGTGACTGGCAGGCCGTGTGTTGGGGCGGGAGGTGTTAATGAGTGACTCCAGGGGGATTTCCAGCAAATTGTGGGCACAGCCTTTCTGAGAACAGCACCCTCTGCCTTAGCCAACCCTCTCCCTTCCCCGCCCAGGTGATCCCAACCTGAGTGCCAGTTCATTCCATAGATGCCCAGCCCCTACCCTCTTCGGAATGGCGGCGACTCCTTCATTCATTCATTCATTCATTCATTCATCCATCCATCTAACAGATAGCTATTGGGTGTCTACTATGTACCAGGACTATGCTGGGCAGAGAACATGATCCTGCTCTCATGGAGCTTGCTTTCCAATGCGGGGAGGGTGGGAGGGTAGATGATAGACAGCAAAATAGGAAATAAGTAAATTATCTAGTACATAGGAAGGTGATAGTGTTGTGGGAAGAAACAGAAATTCAGGCAGGAAAGGCTCCATGCTGGGTGGGGAGTCGGGGGCAGGGTGCAGCATTAAATAGGGCGGACCTCTCATTGAGAGGTGACATTTGAGCTCAGGCTTGAAGGAGGTGAGCGAGCCCCGGGAACATGGAGGTTGGGGGCAGCATGTTCGGCAGGGAGCAGCAACCTCCAGGCCAAGGCAGGCGTGTCCCTGGCGTGTCTGAGGACAAGAGCGCTGGTGGGGTTGGAACAAGGGAGGGACTGAGCACCCGGGATGAGCCCCAACCAGGGAGGGCCGTGGGGGTGTCTTGCTTTCCTTCCAAGGGAACTGGGAGCCACGGCAGGATTTTGAGCGAAGTGTGCTGTGATCCTACTGATGGGGGGGCATATGGAAACCAAGAGGAACGGGCAGCTGAGGGGCGAGGGTGCAAACAAAAGGGGCACTGGAGGTGCCTGCTCCTGTCCTGTCCACTCACGTACACGTGACCACAGAATGACGTTTTTGGGGTGAGGAGCTGGCACTCCGTGATGCCACTTCTCAGGGGTGATTCTCTGCAGCTGCGACTGCCTAATTTAGGATAGCCTCTTGCACCGGGGTCATGGCTTGATATGAGAGTCAGTGTCCTCTCCTTCCTGCCTGCAAAGCCACCAGGGGTCACACTGGCAGGCTCCAGGCCCAGCAGCAAAGACTAGAAGTGAAAGAGGAAAAATAAAGGGAAGAGGGAGAAAATTATAGGAGGAGAGAGGCCAGAGACCCCCATTTTCCTGTTCCGATTGTGTTAGGGCAGGGAGGGGTGCAGGCTGCTCTCAAGGGACACCTGACAGTGGCGTTATCACATCACGGAGTACCTAATGCCGCTCAAGGCCATCCCTCAGGGTCTTCCTGCAGCCCTTCGGGGGCTCTTCTTGTTGCCTCACACCCTTCTTGCCTTCCTCCCATCTTCCTCGCCCTCCAAGAACCTGGGACTCGACAGTTTGAGGAATGCATGAGACGGTTGCAGGAATGTCATCATTCCTCATTTGTCTTTCCTGTCCTGTGGTCACGTGACCATCCAGGTAGGGCAGAGCTCAACTCCAAAGCAGTGTCTTTCTTAGAAGGCTTCCGTGAGGACCTGGTCTTGAGGATTGTTAGCAGATGTCCTGGGATTGCACTGAAAAGCGAGCCCATAGAGGAACACCTAGTGTCCATCTTTAGGGGACTTCTCTGTCACACACCCTTATTTCAGAAGAGCTATCTGAGGGCTGTGGCCCGGATCCCCTCCTACCTGATGACGCCTTAGAAATGTGTACATGCTCTCTTGGAAACGCTTGGAGAAACGAAAAGTCGATGGTTAGAGTGGGGTCTTTACCTGCCCCTCTCTCTGAAGCTTGAGTGTATTTCCGAATGATTCCACCAGCTCTGCTGGGGACACTTTCCTACCCAGCCGTGCCCTCTTCTACTTCCAGAGCAATGGCCCAGGGAGGTGGAGCGAGGTGGTGGCCCCATGGCTGGGTCCACGTAGCAGGAGTCACAAACAGTAATATTACAATATGGCCGACTTGCACTGATTAAGCATCTTTCCTTCCAAGGACTGTCATGTCACTGCCTTTTAGCCCCGAAGCCTCCTATGTGAGATCATCAGGAGGAAGAACTATTTTTACAGATGAAAACTCTGTCGCCCAGGGAGGACTCGCTCTTTCCTCAGGTTCATCCATCATGTGTGTGCGGTGGGTAGGGAGAGGTGCTGCGGCTAAAATGATGATTTCTGCCATAACCATAATTGAGAGTGAAAAGCTGGGGCTCTGGGAGAAAGAAGCGAGTCCCAGTTCTGAGCGGCAGTGGGGATGACCTCACCCGGGGGACGAGAGCCATCCAGAGGACTCGCAGACGGAACTTCCCCTCAGGGTCCAAATGTGAGTCACCGTGGCTCGAGTCTGTGCAGCGGGCTCTGTCCCCAGGCCTCCCGCTTCACCCTGGGACATCGTGGTCACTGGTCAGGCCTGATGACTCACTTGGTCTCTTGAGCCAGCCACTGGGGGTGGAGACTCTCTCTCTGGCATCTGTACCCTGGGTGCTATCGACCGCTCGGCTGGCGCATTCTCAGATGCTATGTGCGAGACGTGTGTAACAGGGAAAGCCCCTCACAGTCTGCAAGGGTCAAGCCAAAGCCACTGCCGCAGCAAGTGGATTTCAAAATTCAGTTTGGAAAGTCCGGGGGGCTCCATGGAGCTCACACAGCTGCTGCTGGAGCTTTCCGAGCCCTGGGGGGGGGGGGGGGGGAGTTGCATCGGATGATACCTGAGAGGTGGAATAAACAAAGCTCACCAAGAGGCAGCTCCCCGCCCCATCTAGACAAGCGGAGTTCACCCAAAAGGCCAACGGCTGGCTGGGTGTCAGATTTCCCGCCACACCCAGGGCTCAGCTCCTGCTGTCACTTCTCCTCCTTGGTTTCATCTTCTAAGGATAGAAATAGTGTCATCTTTTCTCAACCTGTCAGCCTCACACCTGCCGGGAGCCCCTGGCGGTGAGACACCAGCGCTGCCCAACCTGATGTCATCTGTGTTTACCGTCTGTTTTAGAAACCAGGTAGCGAGAGGGACTTTCTGAGGATTGAAAAAAAAGTAAATCCCCGAACTATTTCAGTGAGGTTTTCTTTTTCTCCTGTCTTTTATTTTCATATTTTCTTTTGCTCTAACTTTGTCTTTCTATTTAAAATTTTTTTTTTTTTTGGCGAGAGCATGCAGGAGTGGGGAAGGAAGGATTCCCCAAAGAGGTATATGAGATTCTTTTCCGGGTGATATTTATCTGATCTCTGTGTGGGCCGTTCGTCCTGAGAGACGTGCTCCAGAGCCGCCGTAGGCGCCCAATGCCAGGGTCTGGGCCTCGGCGGCCAGGCCTGCTCCCCACCTGCCACGGGAAACAGAGGAGCTGCTAACAGTCATAGGACTCAGTTTACCTACCATCAGCCTCCATCCTTCCTAAGCGTGATGAGGCTGACTTATTGCCTTACGGTTTTGTCCTTTGGCTCATCAGTTCTGGAACTTTCCACTTCCAGTCTTGTTTCCGAACAGGGGGTTGGGAAGGTGTGAGAGCACTGTTTAGGATAAAGGTCAAAGGTGACACAGACGGACCCCAGCTTCAGGCCTAGGTGCCCCCCTGTCAGGTCCTCTCTCCCTCCACATTTCTCCACACTCCTCTTGGGACAGGAGTCACTGTCCCAGTTGAGGGAGTGGGGGGGATAAGGGGGAGGGGCGGAGGCTGGGTCCCAGGGATGCTGTTTGGCCTAGACCGTGAGGGTCACCTCCACAGGGCCCGGCTGACCTGGAAAACAGGTGGTCGAAGGTATGGCCGTGAATGTTACTTCGCCGAGGTATGACAGCTTGTGTGAAAGGGTCGGCCTCTGGGTGACTCAGTCTGCTAGCAAACTATAAAAGGGAAGTGACTCACTTTCAACCCTGAGCAAGAACTCCTAAGGCCAGGCCGCCAGCACCTGTCTGGGACGCGGTTAGTTATTAACGCTGCCAGTAAGAGTGTCATGGGAACCGGACGCTGGCCTAGATTGCTGGAGGCAGCTTGACTTTTCACGGCTTGCACAACGTCCACTCACCTTCTTCTGGCTCCTCTCCGGCCTGACCCCAAATGCAGAAGAGCCCGTGGAACTCTTAGCTGTACAGTGTCTCCCAACATGCCCCTCAAGGATGAGGCAAATCCCACGAGGGCTGAGGAGGGGGACAAAGGAATGGTTTGGTGAGGGGAAACCACAGCTGAAAGATCATCCTGCATCTGGGCATTCCAGGAGTGGGCTGTGGATGGGGCTGGCCCTCCCTGCCCTGCCCCACACGCCCCACCCTGCAGGTGTCGCCCCCAGAGTTCTGGTTCCTGGGCTCAGTCAGATCTGTAGTGAATGCCTTTGGGTGGTATGGGCTCTGTTGGTCTTGGAGCCCCACCAAAAAGGAGCTCTGCCGCCTCCCATGGAGGCCCCTGACCTGAGGAGCATTAACTCCTGCCCTACTGACCTGTGGCCCCAGAAGAGGGTGGTGTCCTTCTCTGCTCTGCTCTGAAGTCACACACCCATTCCTGAGGCTGCTTGAGCCAACTTTGCGAAATAGGGACCAGCTCTGAGGACCCCCACAGGGCAGGCTGGGAGGGCTGTCGCCGGTGAATTGAGCCAGGCATTCAAGTCAGCTCTGCTGTCTCCTCTTTCTTTCTCCATACCCGGAAAAGTACACAATGGGCAGCTTCTCCTCTGGGATCCCAAAAACCATGCTTTGCCACTCTTGGGGGAGGCCCAGCCTGGGCACAAGCCGTGCCCGCCCCCACCCAGTCCACGTCCTTCCACTTCCAACCGTCAGGCAGGAGGAGGAAGGTTGACTGAACAGGAAGAGGTGGCAGTTTTAGGGAGTCAGGCTCCCCAGTGTCTAAAAACGAGGCCCAGCGCCCAGAGGGAAGAGCCATTGCCTGATACCTGTTGCTAGTTATGTAAAGCTGTAAGGTACTCGTGGGCAGTATTGAGGGCATGGGGACACCATTTGCCTCCTGGTCTATGGAAGAAGCACTGGGCTAGCAACTGGGACATGTACTCCCTGGGTGGCCCTGAGCAAGTCATCGAACCGCTCCAGCAGAGTTTCCCCATCTGTAAAGTGGGAATAACACCAACACCTGACCTGCTTACCTGACAGGGTTTGTGTGGGGCCAGCTGAGATCACTGAGCATGTGACAAGGCTTTGGGAGTGGTAAGGGCCACCCAGATCGGGATTGAGGTACCAGGGTGCTTACAGTGATTAGCACAAAGCAGGGTCTGAGGTCTGCGCCCCCCCCCCCCCCCCCCCGGCCCCGGGAGGATGGCTTTACAGGCACCCACCTGTGGCTTAAGAGCTTCTTGGGCCTCCCACAGCTGATAAATCACCGCCTGGTGGGTGTACTTTGTCTAGGCTCCAGCATGAACAGACAGTCTGCCCTTGGCTGCTGTAGGGAAAGGCTCCTCTGCCTTCTCGCCCTTTCTCAGTGGGCTGAGCAGGAGCAAAAATAGATCCCAGGACCTTATTGCTTAGGTTTTCCCGAGGGACCTTCAACTGCCCATTTAGAAACTGGTGGCGTGAGTCCCTTTCCCAATCCACGTAATCACTGGGGTACTGATCTAGGTATCTCCTGCCATGTGATTTGTCACCTTCTTGCCATCAAGGAAGAGGCACATAGGAGTGTCAGGTTTTATCCCCAAGTGCAGTATACCAAGGAGGTACTTGACAAGTAGTTGTTGAATATGCAAATTGCCTAATTCTTAGTTTATTTTGCTTTGTAGTCTTCCATGCATTCATTGAAAGGAGGCACGTTGAGATTTAAGGGGGCATCCCTGACAGGGCAATAAACATCTGTTTAGTAACTTTTCCTTGCCCAGCACTGTGCTAAGTGGATTGGGTACAATCCTCGCTCTCATAAAATCAAACTCCCATCTGCCATCCAGACCCAGGATCTCCCTTAAGTCTTTCCAGACAGGTGTTTTCTGCTTGAACCCTTGGCTGATGGAGAATTTGATCTCTCCAGAGGCTACCCACTCTAACCTTGGCAACTCCAATTGTTGGGAAGTTCATTCATTTAGGGAGACTCCATCTTCCTCTGGATACTACCAAAAGGAGTTGACTTCTGGGACCTGGAAGAACCAAAGAAGACCTTGTGGAGTTGATGAGACTTGAAGAAGAAATGGACGAAGTAGAGAGAGAGAAGAGCTGCAGGCTGTCTGTTGCGTTGGAGACGTGGCTTGAATAGTGTCCCCACAGAAGTCATGTCTACCTAGAACCTCCGGATGTGACCTTATTTAGAAATCAGGTCTTTGCAGATGTAATTAGTTAAGAATCTAATGACAGGTCCTGAGAAGAGAAGGGGAAACAGAGATACAGGGAAGAAGGTGATATGAAGATGGAGGCAGAGACCGGGCTGATATGTCTACAAGCCAAGGAATGCCAAGGATTGCTGAGAACCACCAGAATCTAAAAGAGAGGCATGGAGCAGATTTTCTCTCAGGGCCTTCAGAAGGACCCAGCTCTGCAGACACCTTGACTCTGGACTTCTGGCCTCCTGAACTAAGAGAAAATAAATGTCTGTTGTACTAAGCCACCAGTTTGTGGGAATTTGTTATGGCAGCCTTGACAAACTCATACAACATCCAACTGTGAGGAACAGCATAAGAGTATGGAGGCAGAAATAAACACACTTTGTGGAGGGGCTGGAGGAAATAGACTTGAGGTGAGGGGCCAAGAGGACTGGGCTCCATGTAAGGAAATTGTTCATTTGTTAGGGAGGAGGGTGTGCAGACCAGAAGGCCCCATGGGTGGAGGGCTGTGATGCCAGGCTGAGGTGTGTGTGGAGGAGAGCCCTTTTGCCAATGACAGTCTTCAGAACCAGAAAGGTACCAGCCCTGGGTTCTCTGACTCTGTTTGACCTCTCTCCACTAAATTGTCCCCAGTTCCTGCTTCTCTGTTCATAGAAAGGATCAAACCATCCTTAACCCTCACACCACCCTGCGTATAAATGTGTGACTTATGACAAAAATAATTATGAGATGCTTACTATTAGAAAAATTTATAAAAGCCAAGGAAAATATTTAGGATCTGTACCCAGTTATATGTGAATCCTTCATTATTAAATAAGATTTCAGTATTTCTATGATTATTTAGTATTTCATTGTAGGACTATGACAGGGCTACTTTTGAACAGTTCTTTGATGTTTCCAATGTTTCTTTCTTTTGCTGTGAAATGAGGCTTTGATGACAATCCTGGTAGCAACAACTTTATTTGCATCTGTACTATTTTCCTGGGGCTGCTGTGACAAATTACCAACCGCTTGGTCGTTTAAAACAACAAAACTTATTGTCTTACAGTTTGGGAGACCATAAGTCTGAAATGAGTCTTATGGGACTAAAACCAAATTGTCAGCAGGGCTGGTTCCTTCTGGAGGCTTGACGGGAGAATGGCTTCTGGAGAACTGTTGGCATCCCTCATCTTGTAGCTGCATCGCTCCAGCCTCTACCTTCGCGGTCACATCACATCCTCCTCTCTGTAATCAAATCTCCCTCTGCCTCCCTCTTATAAGGACACTTGTAATTGCATTTAGGGCCCATCTGGATAATCCAGGATAATCTCCCCATTTTAAAATCCTTAACTTAATCCCATCTGCCAAGTCCCTTTTACACATAAGGTAACATTTACAGGTTCCAGGGACTAGGACGTGACTATCTTTTTTTCGCTTGAGGGTGTCATTATTGAGCCTATCACCATATTCATGACTAGTTTCTCACAATAAGTTCTTGTGAGTGGAAATAAAGGTTTGAAAGGGCAGTACTAACATTGTGTGAAATGTTTGGAGAAAGTACTCAGGGTTAAGTAGACTGAACCAGCGTCTTTTTGCTCCTGTGCCTTTAAGAGCCCTTCTTAGCGCTCCTCCAAGTCAGATGGATAGGGGGCTGTAGACTGAAATCCCCATTACAGGAATCATTTAAAGTTAGCCTCTAGGAAGCTTGAGGCTAATGAGATAATTCCCATTAGGAGAGGAAGGAAGTGAAGGTGGCCTGACATCCTTTCTGCCTCTAATTTATATGATTCACTGAAACCTCCCCCTCTTGCCCCTGGGGCCCCCCTCCTTCGGCTGCCCCTTTGAATTCTGGTTCCACTGTCCACCCTCCTTCTGCCAGCCAGCGCTCTAGTTTCCAGCAAGTCCCAGCATGCTGAGGAACCTGGGAAGGTTGCCTTCCGCCCAGACGAGGCATTCGGGCCCTTTTCTTGGCAGCCGCACCAGAGAATCTGTTCTTCGCCTCTTCTTTCTCTTTTCCCAGAGCCTCACCCAGCTCCGTGCCACCCCCACCCCTGCCCGACCGAAATGGGGACTGGTGTCTATGGGACCAAAGAAAAGAGAAAAAGCCTTCCACAGAACACAGGCAGCCTCCTGGGGACCTAGGGGCCAAGGCTGCCAAGATTTTGTTTGCTCCCCGCCTCCCCGGACTTTGAGAGGAAAGGGAGAGAGAGAGAGAAAAAAGGGAGAGAGGGAGAGCGGACAAGAGAGATCCTGCGCTTCCTGTTTTCTCTGCTGCCTACACTTCTGGTCAGAGCTTTCTCTGCAAACATGAAAATCCAGTTTGGGTCTTTAATTGGAAAAGTGTGAAGTAACCCAAGGTTCAGGGTTTTTGAAGTTCAGATCAAACCTTGGAAACACAGTGGGGGCTGCAGAGAGAGAAGAGTACAGAGAGGGGGACCCGATCCCAGGGCCTGCATGTTGCTGTCAGAGGTGCCCATCTCGTTTCTTAGACACCCGCTCACTCTTCTGGGACCTGCTGGGGACAATTCTAGCCACCCTCCACCCCCTGCCCAGGAAGGGCTCCTGGCACCCAGAGGGAGGTGTGGCTCTTTCTTGCCCCTGGTTTACTTCTTTTCCTCCTCTCATCCTCCCCGAGGGAGGCCATATGGTGGAGAGTTCCAAGGCAGGGCCAAGGGCCAGAGCCGCGCTGGCCCCGGGGACAGTCCAGCAGCCCTGATGTGCAGTGTGGGTGGCCTGTCCTGTGAACTTGCTGCCTGACCTCCCAGGGCCTCTGAGAGCCCAGCTGCAACCTTGGGTAACAGCCTGGCCCCCTTGCAACCAGGGGGTGCTAAGGCCTAGCTCCCCTCGTCACCTTGGCACCCGTGCCACCAGAGCCCCCCCAGGCATCCTTTCCCTTGGAGTTGACCTAACCTGGTTCTTCAGGCTGTGGTGTCTCTACTGAGAGTGAGACAGAGAAGACAGGCGAACCAGGGGTAGAGAGGACACGAGTTAGAAGAAAGAGGAGGAAGGAAGGATGTAAGAGTCGAAGGCAGAGGACATCTGGGCATTTCAGTGTTAAATGACAGCAAAGCTGCAACTGCACTTCGCCTCGGCTGTGTTGGAATCAAGAGCGCAGCCCTGTTCCGTCGGAGGCTGAGCTGCCTCCTTCACGGTGGGGCTCCTTCAGGACTGGGCGTTATCTCACCCGCTCCTGACTCCCGGCTCCATCGCCTCCTCCCTGCACATGGAATGCTCAGACATTTTAGGGGCGGTTGAGGGGATGTGGAAGGAGTTGAGGATGCTAGGAACAGCTTTACTGAGGAAAGAAGAAAAGCAAGGAAGAATGGAAGATGGTCTGGAGTTTTTGTACACCTCTTTCGTATGGTCTGTAGCAGGAAAATGATCAAGGCGGTGACTTCCTGTCCTTCCTTCCTTGGACATGGGCTGCCTGTATGTTTTCGCAGAGAGCGTGCTGTAGGGAAGTGCGTTAGTAATGACAAATACTACTTATTGAGTCTTTAGTATTTAGCTCGGTCCTCACAATGACCCTACGAAGGAGTAGGTTGTTATTCCTGTGTTACAGATGGGTTAAAGAGAATCGAGGTCACCTGCCCACGTTCTGGGATTTGATCCTTGGTCTGACTCCATATCCCAAGCTGAGGTGTCCCCAGTGAGGGGTGATCCCTGAAGTGTTTCCCTTTGGAAGGAATGAGTGTCCATGCCTCACGTCCCTCCCATACTTGTGAGATATCTAGCCTATGTTGCTAAGGATTCATTCATTCATTCATTCATTCATTCATGTGCCTCTTCAAGGCCAGGCACTAAGCTAGACACTCTGAATGCAAAGAAGAAAGACATGGCTGCTGCAGCCAGCCTCCAGCGACTGGTGACAGACCCACATGGACTGAGGAACATTCTGGAGGCCTTGAAGCCTGCCAGCACCCACAGTCCTCGAGTGCACGTGCTCTGTCTCTCTCATGTCGATGAGCAGTCCTGGGTGTTCCAGATCCAGACAACTCAGAAGTCCCACTGTGTCC